GCGCGCGGCTGACGGTCGCCCTGCCGCGCGCGAGGCCGACGCCGCGGCCGCGCTGGTTGCGGGAGCGGAACATGGGCGCGTTGCGGAGCATGTCGGGGACGATGAAGAAGCGGACGTGGGAGCCGCGGATGTAGACCTGGTCGAGGTGGGAGACGCGGCCGTCGCGGGCGGTGACGGTGATGTCCTTGAGCTGGATGTTCATGTTGTCCTCGGCTGCAGGGTTTGTCAGCGCGTAGCTCGGTGGAGATGGCCAGGGGTGAGTAGAGATGCAGATATGGAGATGGAGAGAGAGAGAGAGAGAGAGAGAGAGAGAGAGAGAGGAGAGAGAGAAGTCAAGGAGGGGAGGGCAGAGGGTGCTGTGCGGCGCGGCGGGACTGAGACGGACCTTCCAATAGCTTGCCGCGGTAGGTCTGGCCGGAGGTGATCTCGAGGGTGATAATGTGGCCCTGGGCCTCGTTGAGGAGCTTGATGGGAATGCCGATTGTCGAGGTCATTGTGGCGGTTGGTTTGGGGGAGGCGGTCTGGTGTGGTGATGGGGTGGTCGTGTCGTCGGTGTCGCGGGGTGGTTCGTGATATCGTGGACTGGTGTTGACTGAGGTTGATTGAGCCTGGCCGATTTTTGGAGCTGCCCGCGCTTGCGGGAGCTCAAGCTCGCGGGTTAATCCGCGGGGTTTATCCGGAGTGGATGTGCTGGAGAGCCATCTGGTGGCAGCTGGCAATGTGTGGCTCAGTGGCCAAGGTCCTTCTCCGAATCATGATAGATATGTGGGCCGGATCAGTAGTTGGGTGGGTGACCACCAGCGAATACCTGGTGTTGTATGTTTTATTTTTGTTCGAGCGGAATACATTTCGCCAGGGAGTCCAATCAGAGTGGAAATGCTGCGTAGAGCAGTGCCCTGTTGAGTAAGGGCCAGGCAAAGCAAGGGAGTATCTGACGTTATTCATAGTCCTACTCTACTACTGATGTGATTGTCTGAGTGCATCGTCAGGCAGAGTGAGGTTGTCTCCATAGGCGTCATCTACATTTTAACTATTGAGTAGGGGGCCATAGTATATTTGAGCTTCATCTTTTTGTGACGAGGACGGCTCTTCACATCTTCTGTCAAAGCACTTTGTAGTCTTACGCGTTAAACGAGCCCCGTGAACGCTTAGGTTCTTGGCTTTGCAGATGCTTTGTAAGTATTCCTCGTCAAGTTGTCAGCAAGGAGCCTTGGAAGCCGACTGTTACGAGTGACGAGACTGATAATTGGAGCCAGTAAGTTGTTTGTGGCGCCAGTGTATTGGCTGCCTGTTACTATGGTTGTTATGTTAGTGTGTGCAATGACTTGATTAGTTTGTCTACTGGCTTCGCAGTCTTTTAAATGTCGACGGAAGACCTTATCCATACAAGGTAGGGATTTTAGTAGTGTACAGTATAGATATGTTTACCTAGCTATTTGACTTTTAACCACCCGTGTTAGTGATTTCACATTTATAGTTGGCTTGGCGAAGATTTAAGGTTGCAATAGCACTTTCACTGCTCGCTTGGAGTATTTTGCCAATGAAACAACCGACCTTAGCCTGATCGAGGATGGGCTGTGTTAGTTTTATAGGCAATTGGGGCTGAACTAAGAAGTTAGATAATTTAGATTACTAGCGACAATAACCGTGCAGACAGTAAGTGGATGACTATCAACGAAAATGAACACTGAGATGAGGAGGATGAGGAGGGGCTAGTTTGAGAGAATGAAGACACTAGAACGTGAATAAGCCCAATAAGGGCTTCTAAACCACAGGCTCGCAGCATCGGTCCGTTGACGTACAATGAGGGGATACACCAGCGCAGCGCAATATGACAGCATGACGCGGATATGTTGCGGCGACCGATTAAGAATAACATCGTGAGGCGTGTGCAAAGCTCCCTTACCGCGTTCAAAGATGGGCAAGCCGAAAAGGTAGAAACGCCTGAATAGAGAGGCCGGCACCCTGAGCTACTCGTTGGATATACAGAGGAGGCCAGCACAAAGTCATACAGGCCGACATTAGCCTACAACGATGAGAGTTGTACCAGTGGATCACAGGGCAAGTCTGGTGTTTGGCCACTAAAAGCAAGGCTAGCAACGTCTTGCTCAGTTTTGCCGTCTTCCATCTGACGATTGATTGTCTCTCAAACGCCGTATCTTTCACTTCGAGTTGCTTCCCTTCGTCTGCAGTCTGCTCGTCAACAAGGTAACACATTGCGGGACACTGTATGAGGGTCTCGGGGAGCGGGGGCCGTGTCGCAGTGGCACAGCCCCAGATTTCATGTGCTGTCTTCCCTCATTAGGTGTCCTAGGTCTTGTCTTCTTGGATATCTCCCGCAGGCACGAGAGTATTTGATATTGGCTATCGATGAGAGAGTGGGCGGTGCCCCTAGCTTTGAAGTTTGTATGACCACTCGGTCAGCCATGCGGTCTGCTTTGTGATTGTCATTAGAACCTTTAGGCTCAAGACTATGTGTTTTGTGCACTGCACGGAAGTGACGGTTGCAAGCAGCAGAGGTTTTAGCGGGTACTCAACATTGACGGCCTGTCATGTGTGGTTCTTTATGCAGTAGATAATACACTGGTGATACAACAACTCGCCATGCATGGGTTTTGCGCCGGCAGCATGGTGCTGGTTGCCCAATATGGCAGCTTGCGTCCTTCGTCATCGCAAGAATGTCGTCGCAAGTCGACTAAATCTCGCAGTGCCGTGCCACGAACCGCTCAATTCCGAGGCACAGGCCCAAAGGCCGCCGTCCCTTCTACTCGACAGCACCCTTGCCCTCCACCCAACCAAGCGGTATCAGTGCCGCCGCAATGTCTTCAACTCCCCTCTCCGTCGCTAGCATGTTGAACTCGGAGGATGCATTCCTCGTGTCAAGGACCTCAATCCTCATGCCGAGTGCACTGATGTGTTTTCTCGTCTCGGGGCTCAAAGGTCGGATGGTCGGCCCAACACCGAGCACAAGCAGATCTATAGCCAAAGTCAGCATGCTTTGCTAGCCGTCTATGCGCCGGGGGAAGGAGCAAGCTCACCAGGCCGTGGCCACATCAGCGACAGCACTGCGAACGCCTCCGCCGGCAGCTCAAATTGTCCCTTCTTGTTCACAAGCGTCAGACTCTCCTCCTCGGACACGCCGGGCTTCCTCTTGGCGAGCCAAGGCCGCCAGGCAAACGCCTCGCCGTTGACGAGCAGCGCGCCTGCGCCGTCGAAGATGGAGAGGCCGCTGTTGAGGAGGAAGCCGCGCGAAAGGTCGCCTCGATGTGGTTGAGGGGATTGGTGTCGAGCCCAAAACGTCAAAGTCGGCCAGATCGGTGGGGCTTTGTCTTCTCGCGATCGCGGGCGGCTTT